CGTGCCAAGCTGCAATCGGCCTCCATTACAATGGTTGGTGACTTCAACGTCAACATGGACCCAAAACAGCCTGGTCCCCAGCATCACTATCTCAGTGACCTCTGTGCCGCCTATGGCCTCAAGAACATCGTTAGAGAACCCACTCGTGAAACTCCCCGCTGTCCGAATGGTACTATAATTGATCTCATTCTGGCTGACCCTACCCATGCAACTGTAGCTACTGTCGTACCTCTTGATATCAGTGATCACAGTGCCGTGGAGTGCAATATCCAGGTCGATGTTCCCCGGACTACACGGCAGGCCCCAAGGCACATGAGAAGAATCCATAAGATAGACAGTACCGCGTTCCGTCATGATATCTGTGAGGCCAACCTACATGACTTTTCTGACTTCAATGATGTAAATATCATGTGGAGAGAATGGCATGCCAAGTTTATGCACGTTATGGATAAGCATGCCCCCCTATGTAACTCAAAGCCTCCCAGACAGTCCACACCACGGTGGGTAGACGCAGAACTACACAGGCTAATGCAGCGAAAACGTCGCATTCATAAACTTTGGAGACAGGACAAAACGAATGGAAATCTTCACACTGAGTTCAAACGAGCACGTAGCATTGCTCGGAACGCTTCTCGGCAAAAGAAAAATGCGTACTTCGCCACCCAGTGCAAAGAGAATGCTGGTAACCCAAGAAAGTCTTGGGAAATTCTCAATGCCGTGACAGGGCGCTCACGGTGCCGTCAAGATCCGTGCTGCGATGTCCATGAGATCAGCAACACGTTCCACTCTATTGTTACAGACACAAACCGACCCGACCATCTCGGCGTTCCGTGTGGCCCCAACGGGCCTGTCTCCCTAACCGAGTTCTCCCCTGTAACTCCATCGGACGTTCAACGTCTCCTTCAGCAGGTAGATGCTCGCAAAGCTACGGGAAGTGACGGCATACCGGGTTCGCTATTGCGGCAGTGTTCCGATTTATTGGCATACTCTTTAGCAGTACTGTTTTGCACTTCCCTCCGTACTGGCACGGTTCCTTTGGCGTTCAAGCTGGCGACCGTTGTACCGCTTTACAAGACCGGGGACCCATCAGTCCCCACCAATTATCGCCCTGTGTCCCTCCTTCCAGTTGTCTCAAAGCTGTTGGAGAGAGTGGTGCAGCGTCAGCTAGTTCGCCATCTAGACTTGAGTAATGCCCTACCTGATTCTCAGTTTGCTTTCAGGAAGAAGTGCTCCACTGAGGATGCCCTCTGTGTTCTCACGGACAGCTTGCAGAAGGCGAAGGACAGTGGTCTGGTAACTGGGCTGTGCCTCCTCGACATGTCCAAGGCTTTTGACAAAGTCCGGCATGGTATCCTCATCCAAGACCTTTTTGACGTTGGTATCTCTGGTGTCGCCCTGAAGTGGTTCGCGAATTACCTGACAGATCGCAGGCAGCAAGTTACAGTCGCTTCGGCCACAAGTCGTGCTCTTGACTGCACCTGTGGTGTGCCCCAAGGCTCCGTCTTGGGGCCTGTTCTCTTTAACGTCTACACCCGTGATGTGAAATCGGTCTCATCGCCAATACCCAGCGTGCAATTCGCAGACGACATTGCTCTGTATGATTCAAAAGCTTCCGCTGGGGAAGTCTCCAAATCCGTCTCTTCAGCTGTCACTGATCTCGCCATATGGCTTAAGTCACGCGGCCTAATTTTAAACGCCTCCAAAAGCCAGGTAATGACTATCTCACCGCAACATGCCGGGCCTGAGGTCTCTATCGTGTGCTGCGATACCTCTCTACCGATAGTGAAGTCTGCGCGGTATCTTGGTGTCTTTCTTGACAACCGCCTGAGTTGGGATGTACACGTCAGCGCCATAGTGACCAAAGTTGCGAGGAAGATAGGCGCCTTGTGGAGAGCCCGTCGATGCCTCTCCCGCAGCTCGCGCAAGGTATATGTAAAGGCTATTGTCATGCCGGATATGATATATGGTGCCTGCAGCTTCTCTGCAGCCCTCCGCGTGACCCAACTTCAGCGTCTGCAAGCCATGCAAAACCGGGCGATCCGATGCATTGATGGCAGCCCGCCATGTTCCGCGATGCAGCCCCTCCTGGCTGCCAACTCGATTTACCGCGTCACTGAACTTTTCAAACAAAAGCTCCTGATCTTCATCTGGCGTTGTCTAAATGACTCCACTAGCCTTGCTCTAGCCCAGCTTCTCAAACCAGCAGCATGCAGCGGCAGAAGTACGCGCCATCAGCATGCCAATGGTCTGCTCAGCCAGCCAGCTCGCAGTCGGTGTGGCCAAACGAGATTCGCCACCGCAGGAGCATTGCTGTGGAACAGTTTGCCTAGAGAGGTGCGCACCGTATCCAGATTGCAAGATTTTAAGCTAGCCTGCCTTCCTTATGTATGCCTGAAATAGGTTGTGTTTCGTCAGGTTTGACATGTTTCTTTCGTCTCAGTATTCTCGCTCGCATAGTACTCCACTTCTATGATAATATTGCCTATGCTGTTGCTCATTAGGATTTTGGCAAATTCTATCCTTCGCTTTCATATAACTGGGCCAGGAACCCGTTTGAACTTGCGAAGTAAAATAAAATCAATCAATCAATCAATCACTGGTTATAAAATATGTTTTAAGACAAACTCACAGAATAAAATTAATACCATCGGTCCCTTGGTGTTCGTCCTAAAGAGGTTAGACTGGATATCATTCATACTCACCAAAAGATGTGTAAGATTATAATTATTATTGTGGAGTGCCTTGTTTATCTCTCAGTACCTCCAACCATAGCCTTGCCCCTTTTATCCTCGTGATCAGTGTAGTTGTTGGAACGAGGTTTTGGACTCAGCAATGTATTCGTTTACATTTTAATTCATGTTTATTGTTCCTTCTTTGCTGTGTTGTTTTAGAAAATCGTGGACTAACAGTTTGAAGTCATTGAACTACTTCCAAAAGTTGTATCGGCATCAACAGGATTACCATTTCAGTGCAATATGATGCAGGATGACCTTATCACGATAAGCCATGATTATAAACCATTATAAACACAGAATCAACAAAAACATCTGCGACACGCACCTGGCTACATTTCTCAAATATATCTGATCGAGGGTGGGGAAATCTGAAATATCTGAAAGGCAAGACAATTTTATGACAGAGTCATGAAATTCTGCAACAGCAAGTTGCAACATGCACAGAATGACCTCCGTATAAAAAAAGTATCACCACCACCAGACCACGACTAACATGTTTCCCCGCCGAAGAACATGCATTATGCTAGTGCCATTTTCTGCAAGAAAAGGCTTGCACATCATGCGTATAATACGGTATTGATGTGAAGGCCATCATTGCTATAGGGCATTCCATTGATTGGTGACAGAAAAAACAAAAGAAATTATAGCAATAAAAACTGCTTTATGGCAGTTTTCTAAAAAAAGTTATTGTGTTCTAGTCCATGGACCCCGTCTAAAAAGTAAGAAATTAACGAAATGTGATAGCCGAAAATTAAAATTTCACACAAAACCTCACAATAATCACACACAGAATGAAAAGCTACATGTACCGTAGAAGACCTTTTCTCCTCGTGATCCTCTTTCCTATGCATGCATGTTGCCAATTGTTGGTGCAGTACAAGTTTAGTGTTGAAAGCAGCATTTCAAGTGTTGTGATTATTGTGAGGTTTTGTGTGAAATTTTAATTTTCGGCTATCACATTTCGTTAATTTCTTACTTTTTAGACGGGGTCCATGGACTAGAACACAATAACTTTTTTTAGAAAACTGCCATAAAGCAGTTTTTATTGCTATATCTCCCATGCAGCGGCATAGTGGAAAGTGTTTTGGATTTTCGCATTGCGCACGCTAGTTTAACGGTATGGTTATTGGTCCAGCTACTGGCAGATCCTAACTCGACAGGATTTTAGCGGGCTTTGCAGTTATCGAGTGGCTGTTTGTTGTAGGTTTTTGTTGTTGATACTGATAAAGCAGGCTTATTCTGTCTATTGGGCTGGTACTCATGTAGCGGGCCAGGCCACACATGCTCCGGCCGTGCATACCCTCACAAGAGACCAAGCCCCTACCTCCATCTCCCCTCTTTATGTAGAGCCTGTTGACTGAGGCTTTGGGGTTGGTGGAGTCCAGACGCGGTCAAGGCTGATCTTGTCGCTCGATCTGTCGTCTTTATCTCAGCCTCGGTCCAATTTACGATTCCACAACTATAATGTCATGACGGGCAGAGCATATGAAAGTTGTGTTGATGGCCTTGATCATGTCTCTCGCATTCAATCCACTATTCAGAAACGAATGTAATCTCTTTTTGTATTCTGCGGTGAGTTGCTGTTGCGTTATTATTATTATTATTATTATTATGGGGGTGGCTTTATTGGTTTTGTGTTTGTATTATGCAGCATCCCGGGTCATTTAAGACCATGGGGAGTACTGCTGTTGTATGTGAAGAAAATATAATAAGGAAGACTGAGAAAAAAGAAAGAAAAAAGAGAGAAATACTGTGAATAGCAAATCTACAATGATGCATGTACAATCTATTATACAACTAATCTGCGAGAATGAGACTTAACACAAGCAGGTACAGTAATAGCAAGAGAGCTAAATCAGCAAACAAAATCCGTTGAAAAGTAACCGTCATCAAATCTGAAATCGAGCCCTTCAGCGACACAATAGACCTGAAGGCAGCAATATAATTCTTCTCATTCAACATCAGTGAAGCACCGTCAAAACCGGTGAATGGGGGCTGATGGTATTATTGTTGTCTTTGTTATTGGCAAGTGATTAATATTACGATCATAATTATTTTCTGCAAATAGGTGCTTCAACTAATAGTTCGAACCATGGGCATTCGCAAACCAATGTAACTTATTAGAGTGTAATTATTATTTCAATGAAAAATATCAATTGTGCACTCCTAACCATGTATAAACAATTAAAATGAAACAATTCCAGAACGTTTTCGTGTGACCATCATCAGTTACAACTGTTGTCTCCTCGTCGGTTATTTAAATTATTATTTCATCTGAGTTATTGACCTGATGATGTCAACTGTGCCAAGGAGCGCCTCCTTTTGCAAGATCGATACACTGGCTCCGGCATCCAGTTCCCTCACAAAGTCAGCAGTCGAGGGGGTTAATCCACCTAATGCCCCCACAATTACTGGCACGATCTTGGCCCGCACCTGCCACATCTGCTCCATCTCACGCTTTAGGCCTTGATATTTCTGTATCTTTTCCACAGATTTTCGGCGGATGTTCCTATCCAGAGGGACACTTACGTCCACAAGGAACGCTTCATCTTTGCCCTTGATAATAATGTCGGGTCTGTTTGCTCCAACGGGCGCTGCTGTTGGAATTGGCACTTCCCAGTAGATTGACACATCCGTTTCAGCACTGTACACGACGTTGGTGAGTTGGTGACTTGTGTACTTATTCGAAATGTCCGATGCACCATACTTCCTGCACAATGTCCAGTGGAGATATTTTGCTAACCTGTTGTGGCGATTGATATAGTGACTCCCCGCACATGCTGTACACGCTCCAATAAGGTGGAAAACCGTTTCCTTGTCCCTGCCACACATCCTGCAACTCGTTTTCGTTGACACACCTGTTCCTCGATTAAATATCTCTTGTAAGTTCCGTGTTGGGATAGCCTGGTCCTGTATGGCCATGACAATACTCTCTGTCGCCGGACGCAAAGCGGAAGACCGCAACCACGCAAAGGAGAGCCCTCGATCCAGCTCAGCATCCTGCAGCATAAGCCAAAATTGGCCATGCAGAGGCTTCTTTCTGATTGTCTCCTCCCGATGCCGCTGGTATCCCTGGCGTATTTGCTCCTTTGTGGCTGACTCCTCCATACCAATCTTTGCCAAATATTTCGCAGCATCACTGGAGACAGAGTATTTTGCTTTTTCATGATGGTACTGTTTTAGGAGAGCAATGGCAATGTGGTCTTGGTGGCCTTCGATGTATTTATTGATCTGGATGAGGGATCGTTCATGTAGATCTACCACACTTTGGAATCCACCGCCGCCTTCGGCGCGCACCAAATGCACCCTCTCTCTGTAAGCCCGAGGGTGATGCCATCCCTTCTTGGTGAGCTTCTTCCTGAGCAAGATATCCAGCTGCTCCAATTCTACAGGTCGCCAGTTGATGATGCCAAAGCTGTAGGTGAGCAGTGGCATCGCGTATGTGTTTACTGCCTTTGCTAAATATCCAGCCGTTAATCCAGACTTGAAGATCGCATCTAATCGCTTTCCATAATCCTCACGAAGCTTGCTCTTTATCTCACCATGCGGCAGCGCAGCCGATTCAAGGAATTTGAGGTATTTGTACATGTTATCTTCTTGCAGGGTGGGTAAAGCCATACCCAACAGTGTATCGACAGGCTCCGCATCACTTGACTCAAGCACTCCCCGGTGTACATGAAGCGTGGCGCACTTCGAAACACCAAACTCCAGGCCAATGGCCGAAGCTGTGATCTGGGCGACGTTGATCATGGGCTTCAGCTGGTTGCGATGTTTGGCATACAGTTAATGTCATCCATGTACAGGAGTTGAGAAACGACCTTTGAGACCTGTCCAATTTGCATTTGATATCCGCCGCCTGTCTTCTGCACCTCTCTTGAAATGCAGTTAATAGCTAAGCAAAACAAGAGGGGTGATAGCGTGTCTCCTTGGAAGATACCACGGCGAATCCTGACAGATTCTGTAGAGACCCGTGCATTTTGATATGATAAACTCATGTGTGTATTCCAGAGCTGCATGCTTGCCTCCAAGAACTTGACAAGAGCTGGGCTAAATTTGTACATCTCCAGCATCCGAGTAATCCATACATGAGAAACGCTGTCATAGGCTTTCTTGTAGTCGATATACGCAACAGAGATATTACGCTTATTATGCCGAGCGTGCTCCATTATCATCTTATTGACAAGAAGTTGCTCCTTACAGCCTGGTGTTCCCGGGGTACACCCTCTCTGTTCATCTGGGAGTATCGAATTGGTGTCAATGTGTTTCCACATGAGACTAGCAACTACGGCTGTCAGGATCTTGTATTGTGTGGGTAGACAGGTGATAGGGCGATATTGGGCTGGGTTAGATGTGGGTGGCTCCGTCTTGGGCAGCAGGATTGTGCGGCCAGTCACCAACCATTCCGGAATTGGCCAATCACCGACAAGGGTCTTCTGGAAGGCGATTCGCAGGGCAATGTGTATATTAGATAATTTTTTCCACCAGTAACCATGAATTGCGTCTACACCACTAGCTTTCCACCTGCTGACCTTAGCTAGCGTGTCCTGGAGTGCCCGTTGAGTCACAGATACGGGTTCATCCTCTGCAATGGTAGTCTCATATTCCACTCTTTGTTCTTGATACCACCCTGATGACTCATCAAACGGCACAGGCTTGGCTAGTATACCAGACCAGAACTCGAATACGGCACCCTCACTCGGTATTTCCCCGGGATGCTGCTGCTCCGGTTCCTTTCTCAGTCTACGGTAGAATTCTTTCTCATTTGTGCGGAATAGTGTGTTAGCTCTCCTGCTCTCCCAGATGTGTTTATCACGTCTTGTTCTCTCCGCTAGCGCAAGCAATTCCAGCTTCCTCTGTTCCAGGGCGTATCCAATCTTGGCTCATCTCAGACTAGCGTGAGGAAGCGAGGAAGACCATCCCGAAAACCGCCCAATGTGACACCGGAGCTCACGGACACCGGAAGAGTTACCAGAAGCAAGGTGAAGAGACGAAGTACTGGAGATTTGAATACGTCGGTACTGGAAGTGACAACAACGATCAACAAGAGGAAACGAGGAAGACCGAGGAGTCAAACGAAAACGACCATGAATTCAAAGGACGTTGGAGGTGTCAACAAGCCCAACGGAAGAGAACAACGGCAAACGTCGAAGGTGACAGAGCTAAATGATCGGACATCGTCCATCAAGCGTCATTTGTCGGGAAGTGCTAATTGTCGTGAGTTGTATAGTGATGATGTCTTTTCGGTTTTAACTCGTGGAAGGTCTAAGTTACATCTTGCTGTGTTAGAAGCTCTGTATATTCGTAAACTAGATCCAGAACTATGTGTACAGAAGGAGAATGTGTTATCGTTGCAGTTGTTTGGTGTCACACCTCGTGAAAGTGTGACAAGTGCTTCTTGATGTGTTCAACGTGTTTGTCTACAACTTGCTGCTTTTGTTTTCGAGTTTTTTTTTCACACTTTAGTCATTTTATCGCCTATGTTGAAGTGTTGACTTTTTCTCTATTTTTCTATATAGTTATGTGTTTTTCCAAATTTCCAACATTCCCTGTACTATCCTGAAGAGAAGGGAAAGAAAACGTTTGATAGAAAAGAAGTGTCTACTGAATTATTATTATTATTATTATTATTATTATTTCGTAATACGTATTCGCATGCAACGACGCAAATCCACACAATTCAGTAGACACTTTTTCTATCAAACGTTTTCTTTCCCTTCTCTTCAGGATAGTACAGGGAATGTTGGAAATTAGAAAAAACACATAACTATATAGAGAATGAAAGAAAGAAAAAGTCAACACTTCAACAAAGGTGTTAAAATGATTAAAGTGTTAAAAACTCAAAAACAAACAGCTGCAAGTTGTAGACAAACACGTTGAACACATCAGGGAATACTTGTCACACTTTCACGAGGTGTGACACCAAACAACTGCAACGATAACACATTCTCCTTCTGTACACATAGTTCTGGATCTAGTTTACGAATATACAGAGCTTCTAACACAGCAAGATGTAACTTAGACCTTCCACTAAGTTCTGTAGACTCGGCCCGTGCGAGGGTTATGATCACACTGCAAACATAGATACGAAATTAAGTAAATACCTACTGTTTCTATCTAGATCTCATCAGATTACTCAATATGAACATGACCGGCTAGCACCAACGGGATCCACTCGGCCACGGATGTATGGCCTGCCGAAAATTCACAAAAAGAATATACCATTACGACCGATACTAAGCATGTCCGGTTCTCCGCAATTTAAGATATCCAAGTGGTTGTGCGTAATGCTGCAGACTGTGCTCGCCCTTTACAATGACCATTGCGTCAAGGACACATTCGAGTTCGTAGATAAGATCAGGAAATCGAAGTTTGAGTCGTGTGGTTACATGTGCTCGTACGATGTCGTCAGTTTGTTCACCAATGTTCCATTGCGTGAAACCATTGACATTTGTGCAGCAGCGTTGTACCATAACAAGTCCGTGACTCCACCAGATTTGAATGAGAGCGAATTTGTCAAAATGATGTTAATGGTCACTTCTGGTGTTGAGTTTTCCTTTGACAATGTCATGTATAGACAGTTGGATGGAGTTGCGATGGGATCTCCACTTGGTCCGGTATTACCAAACATATTCGTTGGATTTTGCGAGTCATCCATTCCCCCATCGCTATGGCCCTCGGTATACTACCGTTTTGTAGATGATGTTTTTTGTCACGACGAGGACCAAGAAACCTGCAAGAACTTTTTAACAACCCTAAACGGACTACATCCTGCATTAAAATTCACTGCAGAAGGTGAACGGGACGGTGTGATATCCTTCTTAGATGTCAATATTACCCGCAACAACGACACCAAGAGTTTAGACATGACGGTTTACAGAAAACCCACCTTTACTGGCTTGTATATTCCATGGGGAAGCTACACACCAACTAAATCCAAAGTTCACCTTGTCAAAGCACTAGTCTATCGTGCCCATCGAATCTGCTCTCCTCACCTTCTTCAAGAAGTACTGAGGCGGCTCACATCAATTTTGACAAACAATGGATACCCCTCGTCACTACTAACAAAACTTATTAATAACAAACCAATCACGCAGGATCCGAAACCATTTGGACCGGACAGGTGCCCCGTGGTACTCCGCTTACCCTGGGTGGGTGCTGGTTCTGCGCGCGTCCAGAAGGAGGTGCGCAACATTGTCTGTTCGTCTTACCCGTGCGTGAAATTGTATTTAGTATTTGGAACGACGCGTGCGTTCAGTGTGAAGAAGGACGTTCTACCTACCCTTAGTAGAAGCAACCTTATCTATTTTTTTCAGTGCCGAGAATGTGAAGATCGGTACGTAGGTAGAACCCTTCAACACCTGGGCGCACGCATCCGTCAACATGTGCCGTTAGGTCTTGTCCCTGTTGACGCTCGTGGTACTCGTCCTCGTCGTGGCCGTCCTCCAAAATGTGCTGTGCAGTCCGATAATGGAACGCCTTTGTCTGCGTCCAGTGTAGATGTACGCATGCGCGCCTCCGCCTCGACGGGCGGGGAGCTTGGCCCATCTCAGACAAGGGTGAGGAACCAAGGGAGACCGTCTCGAAAACCACCCAATGTGACACTGGAGCTCATAGACACCGGAAGAGTTACCAGAAGCAAGGTGAAAAGACGGAGTACAGGGGATCTGAATACGTCGATAATGGAAGTGACAACAACGATCAACAAGAGGAAACGAGGAAGACCAAGAAGTGACACGAAAACGGCCATGAAATCAACAAAAACGGACATGAAATCAACGGACGTTGGAGGTGTGGACCGGAGCAACCAACCATACAAGCCTAACGGAAGAGAACAACGGCAGGCGTCGAAGGTGACAGAGCTAAGTGATCGGACATCGTCCATCAAGCGTCATTTGTCGGGCAGTGCTAGTTGTCGTAAGTTGTATAGTGATGATATATTTTCGATTTTGACTCGTGGAAGGTCTAAGTTACATCTTGCTGTGTTAGAAGCTCTGTATATTCGTAAACTAGATCCAGAACTATGTGTACAGAAGGAGAATGTGTTATCGTTGCAGTTGTTTGGTGTCACACCTCGTGAAAGTGTGACAAGTGCTTCTTGATGTGTTCAACGTGTTTGTCTACAACTTGCTGCTTTTGTTTTCGAGTTTTTCTCACACTTTAGTCATTTTATCGCCTATGTTGAAGTGTTGACTTTTTCTCTATTTTTCTATATAGTTATGTGTTTTTCCAAATTTCCAACATTCCCTGTACTATCCTGAAGAGAAGGGAAAGAAAACGTTTGATAGAAAAAGTGTCTACTGAATTGTGTGGATTTGCGTCGTTGCATGCGAATACGTATTACGAAACTGTTTTTCCCACCGCCTCCAAACTACTGTTTGAATTATTCCCGTAGCTATGCAGAAGACGGTACTTCAGTAACGTCTGGCGCTAGCCAGGGTCCACACAGCTTTAATTCCCGTAGCTATGCAGAAGACGTTACTTCAGTACCGTCTGGCGCTAGCCAGGGTCCACACAGCTTTAATTCCCGTAGCTATGCAGAAGACATTACTTCAGTAACGTCTGGCGCTAGCCAGGGTCCACACAGCTTTAATTTGGTGTTTGTTTGTGTGTTTGTTTGTTTGTGTCACGCCTGGAGCTATCCCGTATCTGTCCCGTATCTGTCCCGTATCTGTCCCGTATCTGTGACTACAAAGGCTCTACAGGAATGTACATAATAGCTGTCCACAATATGTTTTTTTTTCATCATCAAA